GCCTTAACATATTACTACAACCTTTGTCACGTGATGATGTTGTGCAGATCTGGTCCGTAGTACCACAAAAATTATTTCCAGGCCACTTTAACCACTATGTAAAAATATTTACAGATGGCACACATTTGTGTACCTGTCTTACATTGGTCAGCAAAGGAATTGTCTGTCGTCATTTCATTAAAGTACTATTGAAATCATATCTTGCTGTATTTCATATTTCTTTGATATCAGTTCGTTGGTATAAGAATAGTTAAATAAGCGTTGATAAGGATTTTGTTGCTTCGCTTTCACCTATTAAGTTGTGTGAATTAAATAAATCTTCAACATATGATAGTATCCCCAAACAGTTGATTTTCAGTACTTGTCTTGTTTCTGTATTGCTAATATATTTACTTCTTCCTTGCAAAAACCTGTCAGTAAAAAAACACATTGGTTTAAAGAGTATGAAATAGCAAAAAAAGCACTTGATCTAACAATACAGCTTAACTGTGATGACGAATTTTTTGGTATGATAGAAGAATTCATTTCATCTAAAACACATGAGCTACAATATTTAGAAGAAAATAGGAATGCTAGTAATGTTGAATTAAAACCTGCTATTGCCAATCTACTTGTGACAAAATATCGCAGCTGCTTATCTAAACGATACAAAAGTGCACTAGAACATACTACAAATACTTGGCAAGAAAGAAATAGCCAAACAATGAAAAACAAAAAAGCATAAGAAAAGAATAAAAATAAATGTGCAAACTGTAGAAATTACGGACATAATGTTCGGACTTGCTCTTTTGCAAACTAAAAAAATAATTTAATATTATAGTGTTATTATATACATCTAGTTAGTACTAAACGGCTATAAATTTGCTATTTCTGCTTACATTATGATACAAATTAGTCTTATGTCTGAATTGCAAAAATTTATTTCACTTATTTGATTTTTGCTTATATGATTATTAGTATTAATTGTTTGCAAACAAAATAGTTGCAAGATTACATGTCACTCTGGTTTTATTAACATCTCAAAAAAATTCAAAAAATTGTTTGGCATATCCAGATGTCAGCTTAACCAGAGGCATTTTCAAATTAAGTTTATAGAAACAAAATTTTAAAAAAATGTCATTATAGAGAGTGACGTATATAACTTGAAAGTTTTTGTGATTCAAAGTAGAAGGCATTTACAATCTTATACATAAGTTATTATTAGTCTTTAATTTTTAGAATCATGGTATATCAAATCCTTTCAAAATGAATCTTAAGAGACCTGTTAGACTTAGATCATATTATTATCATTTAGTAGTTTGCTTTTTAAGCTAATTTTTGCTATATAGTAATACTTGCATATCTGTTTTCTTCGCTACGTATTCAATCTTGTATGCTCCTACCATCTTGTATATTTTACCCAAAAGGAAATTGTTTATTTAAATCACTATACATATTTGTACTAGTAAGCTATAAGGGTGTATTTTCAGCACAAACCCAGGATCTACAAAACAATTAGGGTTCTTTGTCCAAGTCTTGCTGCAGAGATTACAGAAACAAGATTTGGACCTGATAAGTATCAATTTACTATATCATATGGTACTGAGTTACGATCACTATATAAGGGATCATCTTACTCTATTTCTCGATCGGGTTCTATAAAGGTCACAGTAAGAAGGTTAATGATGCTATATTTATTTCAAGAAAAATATAATGGCCTGATACTTTCCAAAATTACCTACTCCAATATTAAAGATAAAATTGAATTTAGATTAAAATAGAGGTTTATTATATAGATAAAATTCTATTTCCACTATACATTTTTATTTGTGCTTCAACACTGGTTTAGATTTCTGATTTTATAGCTGTTTTCATAAATGCTAGATTAGATTAAAATTTTAAACACTAAATGAAAAATTATATTGTTATCTATCTCCAGACTGAAGGCTCGAAGATGGTGTTGTAATTTCCAGAGAGTTAGATCATAACAGCTATAATCATTTTCTATATTTTGATCAGCCAGGTGAGTTAATCAAAAAAAATTTATAGCAGGTAATTTTGTAAGGTGCTAGGCTTGAAATGATCTAAGCATGTTCAGCTATTTGTAGTATCTAAAATAGCACTAGTAATATTGTGAACAATCACACATAACCAAATTCGATCAGAATTGTTTTATTTTAATTTGATAATGTAACTATTAATTCAGGAGAGAACTAAAACTAAACCGATTTACACTCTAATAGTTACTGAGAGATAGGCTCGGATTTACTTTAATAAAGGTCTCTTCAACACTACACTAGCTTACTTCCTTTATTATCCTTAAGTAAAATTGAAGAAAATCTCATTTTTATTAAAGAAAAATTCAGAGGACTCTTTTCTCTCTTCTATTATAAGACAAATTCGGAGGAAATTTTTTCTCTCCCTTTTTATTAAAAGTCAAAAGATAGTGTTACAGTACCGTGGCCTTCTTAACAGCAGTACTATAACAATGACACGGCTACAGGGATCCTTTACAGGTTTATAG